ATTTACATTCTTACAAATGGCAAATATTACTATAACCAATGTATGCGTCAACCAGGCTTTAAATTATGATATATGTGCATGGCATAATGTATTTACATCTTTTGTGAAAATTGTGGGCCTGCAACACCTTGCTGGTAGGGCTATCCCCAACCCCTGTGTGCTGTGAGCCTACAAACTTATCATTATATTGCATAATGATGTTGTATAGTGTACTACACTTATATTCTTACAAATTGCAAATATGACTATACCCAATGCATGCATCAATTGGGCTTTAAAATGATGATATATGTGCATGGCATAATGTATTTATATTTTTTGTGAAAAAATTGAGAGCCTGCAACACCTTGCTGGTAGGGGTATCCCCAACCCCTGTGTGCTGTGGGCCTACAAAATTATCATTACAGTGCATATCTTGCACAATATTTTACTTACTCAAATGTATTTATCATTATGCTTCCCACATTATAAGGTCGGTTTCTCCATGTGCATGTACAACTATCTTATTATGTACCTATATACTTTATTATTGTACTTACTATGTATCTATGCTTAATTATACCAAATGTTATGTTATATGTTATAATATTCTATACTCTCTGCACTCTTCAGTTCAGAGGTAATATAGGGAATTAAAAACAACTCATATCTAATTTGCACGCGACTACATTTCAAACACATGATCAGTACTCGGATTGTAATTTTATAGCTGCCACCAGCATTCCTTTTTAGTTGGACCACTCTGTCGATATGTGAATGGTATAACATTTTAGGAGATGGTTTTACATAAGCTTTAAGCTTGTTACCAAATCCTCTTAGTTAAGATTTGAATTATATGTATATCTAAATGTTAAACATTGAATAAAATATTGTTTAAACTAAACACGTCCAACTTCATATCGTAAACTGAATTTTTTTCTCAACTTCCATGAAATTTAGAGGCGTTCAGAGTGTCGTCTCGTTTCATTTTCGGATAATAACATAAAAGCGTCACTAGAATTCCAAGAAGTTTAAAAAAGCATTACTGAATCTAAACATTGATAAAAAAACAGCAGAAAGCCATGAACAAAGGGAAGATTTTAAAGGAGATCACTGAACACAAGTGTTTCGGTAAGATTTGTTATAGAACTGCTTCAACTACAACACTTACAGTGAAAATCCAGTTCAAGCCAAGAAATGTCACGATTTTAAAATATTTCGATATCAAGCATCGAGTACATACATATCTATTAAATATTGCACAAGAAAAAAAAAACATTCTAGTACAAATTTTTTTTCATTAAAGTTTCGTTACAAGATGCGCTGAGGTCAAACTTCATTATGTTGAAGCGACCAAAATGGTTTTGTGTTTTTTTTTGATTATATAAAAAATATAAGCATTTCTTTTCGCAATCAGACGTTAAAAACGAAAATGGCCAATCTATTAATTTCTTAAACGATTTGTTTGAGATGTATCGGGAACCGAAAGTAAGAGTAAAGAGATAAAACATGTTTTTTCTTGTGTACTGCGTCCCACTGAGTGGCATCAGACCGAGAGCATATCACATCAGTTTCATGTCATGTTGAAGGTATGACACGAGACAATTTTGACAGTAAACAGCATCGTAGCATCACAATTTCGATAATGCTTTATCACATTTTCCTCAGTATTAAATGGAATTATGATAACCGGTGTTTTCCCCTCCGACCAGCTGGCTAGGGGCAGCGGGAATTGTCACGTGACACCAAGACACTGTCTAACAAACATGCTGGATCCTCAGAGGATCAGCAGACTGAGATAAGAATTACATCTCCACACATGATCAAAAAGTCATTTATCCAAATTAAACCACAAAGAAAGTCTGTAAGATTTATGATCAATGTTTTGACCGTTTAAAACAGACAAGGTCAACTTCTGGTATTAAAAACACAAGTTTTGATAAAACAATAAGATAAAAATATGAACAAATGAAATATCTACACCGAGACATTTGAAAACGTAGACGTAAACCAGGTGTCCCGGAAGAGTAAACATCTACTGCTTCATCGACAACACCCATCAATCTTGGTCAATCTAAGAAATGATCAGTTCTCAAATTAAGAACCGTGTATAGAAAATTATACTAAGGAGACATCTAACATTATATCACAGGAGGTAAAAGAATCTTTTTATTTCAATATTTTCATCTTTTCCCCAATGAGGTCATGAATACTTTTTCATTGTTACAATCACTGGTATTGGCGCAATTAGCGACATATATTTTCGTCCCCGATAAAACTAGGACCGGAAAATAAGAAAGGTAAATTCAATAACAACTGACGAAAACATCGTCCTTTCCTCGGCTTCCTGTTTCCTTATAGTATACATGCGGATTTAGAATCAAAAGTATGTAGTGACATGCGCTCCGTTTGTTTTAGCTTCTGGTAGTCTCAACTTGACTCCAATAGTCCATTACGGACTTAGAATATATCCCGTGAGTCTATTTCATATCGGTGTTGATAGTCCTGACTCTGCTTTTCCGGTCTTCGACAGTTTGTCTACACTGGTTAATACTGTTCATTTGTCCTTTACTGGTAGTTTCCATTGTAGAATATCCAGTTCTCGCTTGTCCTCTCTACCAGAGTCCGGCTTGGAATATTTTACATCCACTAATCCTTTTTCCATTGAAGATTTTCGGTTTCCGTTCATTTCATATCCGGTATACCGATTTATACGTGTGTAGAATGTCCGGTTTCCGTTAATCTGTTTCCGAAAATCCATTTTCCATAATTGAAGAGTATCGAAAGTCTGATTTCAGTCTGTGTCATATAACCGGACTTTCTTCGCTATCTGGCGAGTCCAGTTCCGACCTTCATATCTCTACTGGAGTTCTGACGCTGATTCTCCGTCTCCGCTCCGTTGTCCTCTTTTCTTGCTGGTTTCTGTTAAGGTATTCGTTGTCATTGGTGTTTTGATCTCCGTTCTTTGCCATGCTTGGTAAGGTATTCAGGGAAAATATATCGTGATGACATCAACCTAACATCGACAACCATGTATTATATTGAGTATTTCAAACACAGGGATTTGGCACGAAGGATCATCATACATAAGGTGGAGGTTGTGAGTCCGTGGCAGGTTACCATTACTTGTATTACGTATACCAGTAGAATCATTCTAATCAACAAACAAAGCTGTAAAACTTGTCGTCTTATGTAATCTGTTTTATGTTCATGTCGTAATACTTTCTGTCTTTTATCTCGCCATCATTTTGAAATGTTCTTTCCATATTTCAGTCATGACAATTTCCCCATCGCCATCATTTTGAAATGTTCTTTTCATATTTCTGTCGCGATAATGTTACTTCCCATTGTAATGTCAATAAAACTGACCTTGACCTATTTTGACATTTTAATTAGAAAAGCATACAAAACCAAGGTATTCCAAGAAAACAATGCATTAAGTTTAACTTTGATCGGCCGATTTTGACTTGTATTATTTGTTCAGAATTGGTGATGTGGAAATGAGAGGAAAAGAAGATGACAAAAAAATAAACATCACAAATCCTTCATTTCAAAATGGTGTGTTTTATTTACATTTAAATGGTCCAATTTGAAAACATAGTTATAAAAGCTTGTTGACCATACAAAATAAATTTAAGAAATCACAGATCGTTTCAAGGAAAGGAAAATTTAAGAATATACCACAAGGTTTTTCTGGTTGTCTTACAGACCTGTGGAATACACATCCTGGTTTCTCCTCTTCACATGTACAATGTATACATGCAGCTTCACAAAGGGAACATTAGTTGAGGTTATTTTTCTGTGGAACATGTACAACATTTTTAAATGTATAAACATACATTTTTGCATCACACATATACAGGTATAAATAACAAGAAATTCATTTACAATTGATATACCGAAATTTTCACATCATAGTGCAAAAAACAAAACTTTTTAACAACATTGTAGCTATGTATTTGTGTAGACACATATCTACTTAACAACCAGGTTTTCTTATTATCCTTCTTGGATGTTAAGAAGGATGTCAAAAACATACCAACAGGACCTATAGGTCACCTCCATTAATGAGGTTGGCTTCAAGAACTTCTGAGGGATTTCCTTGTGACAATGAAGGTATCATAGTTTGTGAAAATATCTTTTTTAAAAATATTGTTATGGATTGTGGATATCTATTGACAATGTAAACAAAATAAAAAGCATTCTATTACATAGCAATCTTAGTGGAAATTTTCTCATCCAGTTTTTTTCTTTTTCGTTTGGACATTTCAAACAGGAGAAGAAATAACAATTAGCTGAGATATCCAGTCTGTGTTATTTGGAATTTCCTAATTCCTTTTCAACATCACATTTAAACCAGGTGCAGTTACATAAGTAAAAGATATATGTTATTTCTCTGACAGTTTAAAGAAAAGAATAAAAGCAATTTATCAGGTTAACAGAAAATCTCCTTACCTGAACAGTTAGTTTCTATCTTGATTTTGTCACATTTCATAGCTGTAATAATTTAGCTTTTTACATTTCACTCTTTAGAGATAATGAAAATCCCTTTATCCACTAGGTATAAAACATAAAAATGATTTGATGAATTTTATATTTGATTTCATTCGGTTTGTTTCATGTCAAAACTTTACATTGATGTACATAATTCATGATCATAAACATGCTTGACAACATAATCCATTGGAACCAAACGTTCAATTGAATATGATGCCACTGATCTATTTGTGGTAGACTAGTATTGAAATGTTCAGGCATTGTCAAGGTTACATAATGATACAGAATTTGACTGAATGTTTCCAACACCTTGGTGGCCATGAAAGAGTTACAACTGAAAATCCTCGCAAATAACTAGTCTGGAGAATGAGATTTACATATGTGCTAATTGGTATGAATCTAAATTATCTGTATATTTAAATTCTGATCTAGATGGAGCCTGAATTACAACCAAGAAATGTTAAATGAAAAGAAAAAATCATTAAAAGGAATGTAAATATGCATGAAATAAAAACACACAAAACATTTGATTTGAACTAAATGAGGTACAAGTTAGGTGCTTTTGAAATATTGTGCTTGTTTCATAAAGTAAAAACAAATTTCAGACAAGTATAATGGTAAAAAATAACCTTCCTTGTCCATATAACCAGGTACGGTAGCAACAGTGCCGAACTGTTCTGTAATAAACCCGGGGGTCGATACATATCGGTATTACTTCTTCCATTAACACAGAGGGTGGGATTATTACAGAACAGAGTAAAAGTTAAATAAATTAAATATGGGTGGGTTTATTACCAGGCATGGGCTTAATGTGCTTACTGCCGGATAATTACGGTAGTTCTAATCTATGTAAGAAATGAAATATATTCAATACATTATAATTCTCAACATTCATCCAATAAAACAGATCATAGAATCATCCTGAAAGTTTATAAATATGTTTTCTTAATTCATTTACACAATCCTTAAGACTATCTATATCAAAACCAAATGTCTGTCTTGTTGTGAAAGGAAGACAGCTAGGCTTAAACTCATTTACCGTCAGGTGAATCACAAAAGTAGCAGAAAACAGTAACTTCAGCAAATCAAAAAAAAAAAGCATCAGATCTTTCTTTTATAAATAACATGAAAAATGGACATCATGACATGAGAAAGCAATCAAAACCAAACATTTATCATTAATGTAGATACAGACAAGGTAATCTGTTATAGTGGTACCTGAACACAAATTTTTGAGCTGTTTAAACTGATACATTCAGAGGGGAAAACATTCAAGACCAACACATTATGCAGGGCTACAGAAATCTACTGTAATGTCAGGCAACATTCAATTTTTGTGGTAAATTTGACAAAATTAATATAAACAGACAGCGCCACACAACTTTCTAAAGGATGAAGACAGGATTTCTTAAAAAAAATAGCTTCATATTAATCCAAATAGACTTTATTGAAATAAGTATATAAGCAAAACAATTAAGGAGGTATGCTACGTTGCTATTTGTACCTCCTTTCCAATACAAGTCCAAACTTGTAAATGATTTGCATCCAATATACAACTTGTTAACACTGAATGAAGACAAATTTCATGATATTTGAAAGTCAAGTTGGAATGTTTCACTTTTCAGCTTTTGTCTTTGAAATTTCACTCTGTGCCACATCTCATTTCTAAGATAAAAGCTGAAACATTATGAAAGGGAGATAAAATTTTATACAATTTATAGCTATGAATGTTTTTTAAAGTGGGTTATATAACAGTTGCCCTTTTTTTACATAACTGATAAACCTCTACAGATATTAACAGAAACCACTTCTGATGTGATGAATATGCTAGAGACTACCAATACTTGTATTTTGCTGAGTAAGAAAGGGAAGTAACTCATCACAAATAAATACAAGGTATTAAGTACATAATAAAGTAGCATTATGTTAATCTAATAGTGTTTAGTTTCTATTCATTTTTCTCCATTATTCCACTGTGGAAAGTCTCTTTCAGTTTTAAGAAATAAAAGTGAACTGAAAAAAGTTAAGTTCATTATCAAATATGATCCCCTAATTTATTTTGCAATTATCAAAAGTTTGAAATTCATAAGTGTAATGCTAAATGAATACTGAAGTAGTGCTGATTCTGATATTGTAATGCCCTGTGTTAAGTACAACTCACTTGTCATCAGTCTTAATCACACTTACAACAATAAATTATCTTTTCATAACTATACACCATTGTTATATTTCATTTGTAAATTTGTAACAAAATATGTAATAACTTGTGCTTAAATACGACACAAATATACCAAGCGTTGCACCGTGGTGGAGTAATACTCACATTTTATCACCTTTTTTTTCATTTTTTTTTTCAAGTAAACTTGTTTTAATAAATGTTGATAAATTATGGTACACTGGACAAAAATAACACTATATTATTTGGCAGGGAGTCTCATGCAATGACGAAACTCAATGGACGGAAATCGACATCTGGACGAAACAATGACAGACAAAATACCTTGTGGCATACATATGTAAATAAACATCAACATGGACAAAAAATTGAGGACGGTTGACACACAAAAATCCTGGGAGTTGTCATTGTAGCACAACGGGGATGGATGGCACTCTCCCTCACAATGCATCATCACTAGGATGCCACTTTCCCAACAAAGCATTGTCACTAGGAAGGATGCCATTTTCCCAACAACGAATTGTCACTAGGAAACATGCCACTTTCCTTACAATGCATCAGCACTAGGAAGGATGCCATTTCCCCCATAATGCATCAGCAGTAGGAAGGATGCCATTTCCCCAATAATGCATCAGCACTAGGAAGAATGCCATTTCCCCCATAATGCATCAGCACTAGGAAGGATGCCATTTCCCCCATAATGCATCATCACTAGGAAGGATGCCATTTCCCCTATAATGCATCAGCACTAGGAAGGATGCCATTTCCCCCATAATGCATCATCACATGGAATCATCACTTGGAACGATGCCATATTCCCCACAATGCATCATCACTGAGAAGGATGCCAATATCCTTTCATGGATTCAAAACTGGGAAGAATGCCACACTCCTTTCCTGGAAATGTCACTTGAGAAGGATGCCAAATTGTACCATTAGATGGAGGTATCATCTCCACCGTGACAAGGATTTGTGTTTCCCTCTTGATCTGAAGGCGATGAATTACAATCACTCTTCACCTTGTTGACTTTCATTCCTTGGTAGATAGACCTGGCAGAAAAATGAACACAGTATTAATTACACAATGATATGAAATTTGAATATTCCTCTGAAGAAATAGCAACATTAATTTTAACTGCTAAATCCATAATGGTTGCCTGTAAGAGATTCTGTTTCTTCGATCAGTCTCAAAATTAAGTTGGTATAATTGGGTTCCAAGGGGAATCTACATATGAAATTGGAGAAAAATCCATGTGGTGCTTCTATAGAAACTTTCACAGTCAAAATCCAAGACCTGTCACCTAGTTAGTTTATCCGATCAGTCCCAAAATCTAACCAGGCACAACCAGGGATCAATGGGGAACATATACATAAAATTTGAGATAAATCTATCCAGTACGTCTCAAGAAATAGTGATTACAAAAATTGTTCATGGACAGCAGAACGTATGACGATCCATGGATGTAGGGCAATTTGAACAGCCCATCATCTGATGATAGTGGGTTAACAAATGGCCAGGACATATATGCTCTTGTTATATGGTTCTTACTTGGTGGTATTATCTGCTTTTGATGGCAGATTGACTAAATCTTATTCTGGAACAGTTCCTAACAACACAACTGCTTCCATATGGTAATACGTTCACAAAATGTTGTTTCTATCTCACAAAGATGTTGCTTCTCTAATCAGGCATTATTAGTAAACATGGTAACACTTCAGGGATTGGGCATCAACTGTAATCATGGTAACACTTTACTCATCAGAAATTAACAGTAACTATGGTAACACTTCAGGAATTGGGCATCAACAGTAACCATGGTAATACTTCAGGGATTGGGCATGAACAGTAAACATGGTAACACTTCAGGGATTGGGCATCAACTGTAACCATGGTAACACTTCAGGGATTGGGCATCAACAGTAACCATGGTAATACTTCAGGGATTGGGCATCAACAGTAACCATGGTAACACTTCAGGGATTGGGCATCAACAGTAACCATGGTAACACTTCAGGGATTGGGCATCAACAGTAACCAAGGTATTACTTCAGGAATTGGGCATCAACAGTAACTATGGTAACACTTCACTCATCAGGAATTAATAGTAACCATGGTAACACTTCAGGGATTGGGCATCAACAGTAACCATGGTAACACTTCAGGGATTGGGTATCAAACAGTTACCATGGTAACACTATAGCTGTCAGTAAATTTTAGATTCTGTAACTACAACACAATGTCCTATGAGGAATGATTGATGGCGACTAAATAAACATAACAGTGAGATAGGGTGTAATCTATACATTGAATTGTACTGTATATCTGTCATCCTAAATTCTTGTTGTCGCTACTTTATATCTCCAGCTATTTAAGGCTTAAAGTTTCCAATTTCTAAGGAATTTATTGACCTTTCCTCAATCAAAATGACCCCAATTAGGTCTGAGAGTCATTTTGGTGCAGGTACAGGAACCAAGACTTTAATTGTAGGGATCTTAAATTAAGTTTTCTAACATTTATAGAGAGATTTGTATACATAAACACAGCTATAAAATATCATATGATGTTGATACAGAATTTATTTGTTAATTTGACTCCTGTTACATAATCAGATAATGTGTGTCTACCATTGTCACTTTTCTCAATTTCTGTGCAGGTGGTAGTGAAGAAAAAAGACATGAAATTCATTTGTCTACGAAAATAACAATTTCAGTTCTATTTACAAACCAAGTAGGTAACAAACATTTCTGTATAATTTGGGATGGTGAAATTTTACGCTCTGTGAAAACGTTTATGATGATATGTATATGTCACTACCCTATAATTACAGAAGACTGCAGTGTGTCAGGTGGTTTATCTGATACTTAATAGAATGAAGAGAAATATTCAGTTAACTAGGTTGCAGAGAAGATACATTATACACACATGCCTGTTTTAACCTTGACCTGTGACCTTTTTTACACTCCCTGGTTACAACCTTCTAGTAGTATAATGATGTTGTCGTCAATTGTTGACAAGAAACACTCTCTATATCTACTCCTCTGCCGGGTCTACTTGACATATTGAAGACATCCATGGTTAGTTTCTGTTTCTGAATGGATTAAAAATTTTCAAAAATATATCTGAAATGCTGCAGTTAGAAATTATAGCTAACTTGTTGTGGGCATCACCATCATCGCTCTACAGTATTACAATACCAAACAGTAGACCCAGTGCTGTGATAAATAGCTACAACTTATGTATAACTTAACATTTTTTGTTAACTTGAATGAATAACTTGAAGTAACTATGAAGAAAACACCAACTCCAGTTTGCCTGGAAAGTTATAACCGTTTCAAGTCTCAGCATAATGACCATTTATTTCTTCTTTGGAAACTATTTCATTTTACTTTTTTTATAGCCTATCTGCTAAGTTTGATTATTAGGATTTTCCCAGATGATAACGAAATTAATCTGAATTGTCTAGTCCTTTAAAGTCTTAAGTGAAACATCTTTACATAAAACTGACAAGAGCTGTTCATTTTAACACAGAGTTGTGAGACAGACAGCAAGCCTTTAATCACACTGGTCCAGTCTGGGTCACAGTGCCAGATTGTAGGTCAGGGTCAATAATATGTTTACCTATAGAGAACAGTGACATTGGTTCAGTCCGGGTCACAGTATCCAGATTGTAGGTCAAGAGTCACAAATATGTTTACTTAGAGGGAATGTTTACACTAGTCCAGTCTGAGTCACAGTATCCAGATTGTACGTCAGGGTCAATAATATGTTTACCTAGAGAGAACAGTGACATTGGTCCAGTCCGGGTCACAGTATCCAGATTGTAGGTCAAGAGTCATAAATATGTTTACTTAGAGGAAATTGTGATACAGGTCCAGTCTGGGTCACAGTGTCCAGATTGAAGATCAGAGTCACAAATATGTTTATCTAGAGGAAATTGTGATACAGGTCCAGTCTGGGTCACAGTGTCCAGATTGAAGGTCAGAGTCACAAAAACGTTTACCACGAGAAAATTGTGGCACAGAATAATGCAGGCTTTAAAGAATATAAATGAAGGAAAACTTACATTGAACACAAAAAACTTCTAGTTAGGTATCCCGTTTGGGATTTATATAAATATCTATTTTTATATAAATATCAATAAGAAGGCTATTTCTTAAAAGCCAGGTAAGATTTTAAGGAAATCTGATGCCACTAGAAATCATTTGTGAAACATTTTAGATGAAACTATTCTGGCTTCTTGGAAACTACACTACATCATATCACAACAACATCTACATGTATATATCTACAACTTTATTTTATATAGATATCTATCTGAAGAAAATTTCATGCCTAACAATCCTGAATAAATATTTTGTAAATGACTTTAATAAACTGAATAATGAAAAAAAATTGTACATAGTAACGGCACGATTTCTATTTTTTTTAATTTTCATTGCAAAAAAAGGAAAGTTTCAAATACTCTTTTATTGAGGAGATGAAACATGACTCGCCATAATAATATTCAATTTCATAAAACGAAAAACTCTCGGTAATGCTGCAACCTCCTGTAAATATATATCTATTAGTATAACTGCGGAACGCCAATTGATCTGTCAGTCTAATACCATAATTCTTTGTATTTTTTTTCTCTCCAATACATCCCATTAAATCCAGTTCAATTAGGAATTGAGGAATCAGGCTGTGTATCTCCTTCTACTGAAATCATTTTGATTAAGAAGTGTGGATAAACGCCCTGTAGAGAAACATCAAATACCACTGTCATAATTAATTTCAGCAATATAGAATTGCTAATATGTTCAAACATACGAGGACATACGCCCCTAAAAATCTATTACCTGGGTTATATAAATCTGCAATTGACATCATAATCGATGTAAAATTTTAATATATGTATCAAGCGCCTATCACTCCATATCAAACGGTGACATTATAATCATCTTCACTACTGGCACAAAACGTAATAGTTTTAGCGTATATATGGAACATCTTCTTAACAACCACGACAAGAATGATCTCTTGTTAAGGAATAGATGGAGGGATATGATAAGAATGTCACACTACTTTGTGAAAATATCCCCCTTTAATCACTACACATCACCTTGACAGAAGAACCAGTGTCGATTAATATCCTTTCAGCAGACAACAGGGCAGACTAGGGTCTTGTATTTATAGGACAAATTTCAGGTTTTATTAAGGCAAAATGGGTTCTCTTTCAAAATACAGAGCCATGTATGGATGGGAATCACCCCCGGGGCAGGAAAAAAAGCATACAAGTTTATCATAAGGGGCATCAAATTTCTTATCTAGTAATGAGAGTTATACACTTAGCTTTATCATCTCCAGTTTTTTTCACCTGTGGACAATCACAAGAGATATGATATTAAATAATGCTGACCTATTCTGTGGGCGTCGACCGAGAATATTTACACAAACTAGAATTAAGGTAGATCATATTCACATTAAATACATACCCACCGCAATGGCTGAGACTCATCGTTCAGACAAATATTTGTCAGAAAAAATAATTTATTTTCCTATTTGCTTTTCACCACTAATAACTATCATTATGTTTGAAATGCTTTGAAGATTTTCAAATCAGAATAACAGCCAACATGTAATTGGACCTGGAAAGTCTTAACTTTTCAGAGTTTAGAGACCGATCTGTACAACATGTCAATGATTACCTGAGAAAAATGAGAGGACTAGGTAAGGAATAGACACTAGGTTACGTAGTCCAAGTACTGGAATAGTACAATTGACCATTACAGGTTCAGAAGTCAGAAATCAACGCTTTGTTACATAGTCGGAGTACTAATATAGAACATCTGACCATTACAGGTCCCTAACTCATGTGTTCATCATTTGATCGAAAACAAAACAGACAGGATTTGTTTACATTACAGAAGGTCAAAGTTAAGAAAAGTTTATCTTGTATCGCTACAGAATATTTTTAACTGACTGAATAAAAACATGAGATATTATATAATTGATATATTATGTAAACAACATCACAACAGACAGTATTTACTTTCTAAAATAACAGATA